ATCTATACAATAAAACAGGTTAAACGAACCTCATAGTTGAGACACTTGTATAATTGTCAAATTTTTAAACATGACGTAGGTTACATGTATATAGCTATTTATAACAGTGCTTCAAATAAAAAGGTAAAAGTTACACCACATCATCTTTGTTTTGTGGTTATAAGCATTGTGTATAAGTCTGATATCATTTGGTTAAGGCAAACTAAAGTAAGAGAATGGAAACCAAAGGAGTAGGGACAATAAGGCCCTTATTTGGCCCAAATATTAATGCAAATTTAAAAGTAATCATACATATTCTTAAATTACTGAAAACTTGTCTTAGGTTCAAGCTATTCAGAAAAAAAACAAAACAAATTTAACATGGAACAAGTTACCATGGCAACAAATCATGTCTTAATTTGCATATTTCGTAAAATTTTGGATTTTCCTTGTTTTTCATCAAATTTTAAGTATATTTTAGATTGAAAAAGTGTGTGCACACCCAAGAAACAACTTCATATTTGATGAGAATATGTCAATAGTTATAATAAAACTTCTGTTAAATTATTTGCTGTTTATTGGCTGCGCACGATGTTTCCACAACGGAAATAAAGATAGAAAACTGCATACATTCTGAATTTTTCATTTTTTTTTTGGTGAAAACAGTACATATTATGACGTAATTGTGACGTCATTAGATAAAAACTTAATGTTTTTCATTTATATTTCTTGGCCCTATGCATTTCTAAACATTATATGAAATTGTTATCTAACATTTTATTTTCTTGGGCCAAAACCAGGCCTTAATGCCCTTACTCCTTTGGGACGTACCTTTGGAAGGACATACATATTGACTAGTGTAAAACTTAACGTCCCCCTCAGCTACGCTTGGGGCATTAAAATATTTATAAATTTTGATACCACTTTGTAATAATAAGAAATATAGCCCAAATAAACTAGAGGCTCTAAAGAGCCTGTGTCGCCCACCTGTATTTACTGTTGCTTTGGAAATCATGTAAAATAAGGTTAAAATCATAATTTATAGTATAAGATATCATTAGATACTATAATAATATCTAAGATAATAGCAAAAAACTGCAAAATTTCCATAAAATTACTAACTGAGGGGCAGCAACCCAACAACTGGTTTTCGGATTTGTCTGAAAATTTCAGGGCAGATATATCTAAATCTGATGAACGTTTTTGCCACCAGTCAGATTTGCTCTAAATGCTTTAGTTTCACAGATTTAAACCAAAAACTGCATTTTACTCTATGTACTATTTTTAGCCATGTCTGCCATATTGGTTCGCGGGCAGGGTCATCGGACACACTTTTTAAACTAGATACTCTTATGATAATTGTGGACAAGTTTGGTTACATTTTGTTTTAGTAGTTTCAGAGGAGAAGATTTTTGTAAAAGATTACAAAAATTTAAGAAAAATTGGTAAAATTGACTATAAAGGGCAATAACTCCTGAAGGGGTCAACTGACCATTTTGGTCATTTGACTTATTTGTAGATCTTACTTTGCTGAACATTATTGCTGTTTACAGTTTATCTCTATCTATAATAATATTGAAGATAATAACCAAAAACGGCAAACTTTCCTTATTATTACCAATTAAGGGGTAGCAACCCAACAACCGGTTGTCCGATTCATCTGAAAATTTCAGGGCAGATAGATGTTGACTTGATAAACAATTTTAACTTGTCAGATTTGCTCTAAATGCTTTGGTTTCAGAGTGATAAGCCGAAATCTATATTTTCCCCTATGTTGTATTTTTAGCCATGGCGGCCATCTTGGTTGGCTGGCAGGGTCAACGGACACATTTTTTAAACTACATACCCAAATGATGATTGTGGACAAGTTTGGTTAAATTTGCCTTAGTAGTTTCAGAGGAGAAGATTTTTGTAAAAGATTACAAAAATTTACGAAAAATTGTTAAAAATTGACTATAAAGGGCAATTACTCCTTAAGGGGTCAATTGACCATTTTGATTATGTTAACTTATTTGTAGATCTTACTTTGCTGAACATATTTGCTGTTCACAGTTTACCTCTATCTATAATGATATTCAAGATAATAACCAAAATCGGCAAAATTTCCTTAAAATTACCAATTTAGGGGCAGCAACCCAACAACGGACTCTCCGATTCATCTGAAAATTTCAGAGCAGATAGATCTTGACCTGATAAAGAATTTTACCCCCTGTCAGATTTGCTCTAAATGCTCTGGTTTCAGAGATATAAGCCAAAATATACATTTTACCCCATATGTTCTATTTTTAGCCATGGCCAGGGTTCTCACTAAGGATTTTTGAAGGCGAGTCCAGGGACTCGTCATTTTTGGCCATGGTGAGTCCAACAGTAAGAAGAAGATATTTTATTGCAATCTGATTTATTATATTTGTCTCCTTGACCTTATAGAGCAATGTTATGACATTAAAATCAAATTACTTTTAAACTTTTGCTATAAAATGATGATATATGTGTTCAGTTTATACAAAATTTTACAATCTTGATGCATCTTTGGACTCACCAGTTTTGAAAATGGTGAGTCCAGACAGATTTAAATGAGTCCAGGACTCATGGACTCGCCTTAGTGAGAACCCTGGCCATGGCGGCCATCTTGGTTGGTTGGCCGGGTCACCGCACACATTTTTTAAACTAGATACCCCAATGACGATTGTGGCCAAGTTTGGTATAATTTGGCCCAGTAGTTTCAGAGGAGAAGATTTTTGTAAAAGTTAATAACGACGGACGACGACGACGGACGCAAAGTGATAAGAAAAACTCACTTGGCCCTTCGTTAAAAAGCACTACACAACAATACATCTTTTCATTTATCCAGTTTGGTGCCAAATTTTTTAATTATCTTTATGATCATAAACTAGCTTCTGTGTCTTTATCACATTTGCTCAAGTTTTCACTACAGTTTGGAAAGCTGGTCTTTGGCAAAATATTCTTATATATAAACAGTGAATGGGAAGATGTATGCTGCTTATTTAAAGCGTACAAAATGTCAAATAAAAAATGCTTTTGAACTTGGGAACATAATTATTTCCCATGTAATGTATGTGTACTATGAGAAGGAGGGTGGTCAAATGTAAAATGATTCTGATTTTTTTAAGTGCAAAAATATATGTCACTTGATTTATGTAGCACAAAAAATCAGTGAAAAAAATTACAAATCAGTTTAGAGATTATTTTTCTTTGAATGCTAAAAACAATTTTTTTAACAAATATAAATACATGAAATAATGGTTAAATAATTGCTACAAAAACAAAATGGCCTAGTGGCTTGGTACTTAAAAGGCTTCATGGAGCCAAGAAATGTATCATTCGCATGATTAGAATTATAAGTTCATTTATCTAGGTTTTAAATAACAATTTTCTAAACTGTAAAATAGAAATATGTTGCAAAAATCAATATTTCAAGATCTTTCTCTTATATATTTGGTCAATTGTCAACAAATTATTTGTGACTTTTGGTTCTTTGAAATATATGACTTTCTAACCATTTACAGAAATGAAGGACAGTCTTTACTAAGTTAGTATAGAAAGTCCCTGATGAAATACAACATGGTGAGCTAAATATTTAATGAAAATAATATTGTATTATCAGAGTATTTTTTTCTAAAGGTAAAGATTGACAAAGAATTTAATATTGGTATATCTTTTAGTTTCAAAAGGTTAAAAAGGCAAGAGCTGAAAAAGCAACAGGGGCTATGTACGATATTTCATAATTCAAATATCGGATATTGGATTTATTATACAGAATTGTAATGTTGATACTTTTGTATGGATTTGAAGTCTGTGAATTTGGTTTTAAGCTTTTGATATGAAAACTTGTGACACTAATCTCTGATACTAAAACCCAACTTCTTGATATATGTGGAACTTGGTCAAATTACACATTGTATATTTCATCAAATAAAAAAATATAAATTTTTGGTAAAGTTGTTACCAGAAATGAAATTCAACTCCCTGTTATTTTATTTAGAATGTAGGACAGAAAGTCACAGGACAAAAGCCACAATTCTGTTTTTAGATTATTTTTCTTTGGACAAGAAAAAAAAAATTTTGAAAATATAACTTTACTTTTTTCTTGAACTATTATACATGTTATATATGAAGCAACTTTGTAATTAAAATTTATTCAATAAATATCAATAATGATTGGAAAATTGTTATGAAAACAAAATGTTAATGTGGCTTGGTACTTAAATGGCTTCATGGTGCTAAGAAATATATCCTTTGCATGATTTAAATTTAATAAATGTTCATTTATCAAAGCTTATGAACAATTTCCTAAACTTAAGTTAAAAATGAATAGGCGTGCCATAAATATCTCGGTATTTTTAAAATGTGATTTGTTACTAACTTGCATCATGTAAACAAATTTCTAAAACACGACAGCTATCATTGTAGTAAACATTTGTTTACTAATTCCTAACACGCAGGTAACCATATTAACACCCACTTTACGTTTATATTTGCACCAATTAAACTGTCGACACAACCCGTCCCTCTACGTTTGAAGTACATGCGAATCCATCATTTTCTTTCACCTTGATTAGTATATTCGTTTCGGATTTAAGATATGTGATCATCCGTAAACTTCTGTTGACCTACATTCACAAAATTTAATGTTATAGAATTTGGTGTGCAATGTCTATCAACTTCGTAATTCTTTTGTTCGCCACTGATGATTTTGTTGTCGAAAAAACCTGCATACGGTGACATACCAACTTACAACCGGTTTATTCTTAAAGGATTTACATCAAGTAGTTAGCAGAGCTTAACTGATATCATTCATCAAGTACAGGGCCATGATTGTTATGAATATGTGTTAAAGTCCCAAGGCCTTACAGAATAAATACATGAAATAAATATGAAATGTCTCTTTAATGAATATATTTTGCTTCTTGATAACAATCATACGGTACAATGAATATTTGGCCTATACAAATAATAGCAACGCAATGCCTTCTTATTCAAGCATGGAAGTTTAAACATTGAATGCACTAAAGAATGAATATATCGATCATTTTTCTTGGTAACGATGTTAGTCATATCATAAAGTTATAACGGTTGGATAAGTAAAATACTTCCTGCTTGTAAACATTGTTGTGTAAGACACTTTTTTCTCTAAGGTAAAGTACTAGACGTAAATGATATTGTTAGATTTGTAAGAATAGTTTATAAAACATGTTAATTTCATAAAGGGTATATTAGTTTTAGTCTGAGCAAATGATAATATTCATCCGGTAGATATACTGGCAAAATGTGTTAAATTAAAAAGTTATGTATATATTGATATACTAAGAAATACAAATTGATACAAAGAAATAGCATTTTTGATAAGGTAATATAATCAAGGTCACAGCTCTTTATCTCTAGCATCTACAAAATGTTTTATGTATATCATATATATCACTGAATCGAATCTGATACGATATTTCTCCACTCGGGGAGGTTAGATTTTAAAATCTGAAATGTAAGGCCTGCCGAGCTTTTTAAATATATTTAACTGTCGAGAGTGGAGAAATATCGTATTGCCCTAGATTTAGTTCTGGACTCTCTAATGATTTTTAGACAATATCAAGACAACTTTCATAATTCGAAACAAATGTGTTCTTAAGCTTGCTACGTTGAGTTAGCATGGTCACCTTTTATATGACGACACCAAAGGAGACTTACAGAAAAATAAGACAATTTGACGTTATCAATAAAGGAGTAGGTCCGGTAAGGGCCGATTTTGGCCTCAAAATTCAGGTATATCTGATAAAAGCTTTTTGACACTTTTTAAATACTTCAGCGTCTACTTCAGTCGATTCAATCAGTTTGTGTGAAAGATTTGAACTGATTTAGTCATTAAAAACGCTCAAATTCAAGCTTAAATATGAAAAATCTATCAAATATGCCATAATATGTCACTTTTCAGATGGTTTTTGTCAAAAATGAAAGTGGACGCATCCGTGTTCATTCACAACCTTTATATATGTTATGTATTATCATCAAATACAACTTACATTTAAATATTAAGAATGAACACAAATGTGGCCACTTCCATTTCAGACGGAAACCGTCTAAAAATTAACCAAAATGCTGAAATTTCGAAGATTTCAGTAATTTAGCATGACTTAATGATGCTAGTACCCGATATATGTGCATTATATTGTCAAAAAACAGCCCATATTTATATAACAGAAATATTCTTCTTTCCAATAAATAGTTAAAAATTTACATTTTAACGATTTTGTTAAACTGCTTTATTTTGGGGCCAAAAAAGGGTCTTACTGGGCCTACTCCTTTATACCAATGAAGAACTGAGATAAAACGAACCAAACGTTGCTTATGAAAAAATACGAAAACCGGTCGGGGAAAGTATAAATCGGCTAAGAATAAAGGAAGTTGTTGTTTACACCTTTAAGGAACTGAGAAACAGAGAAACTAACTAAAAACCGCATTGTATACATTTGATCGTAACTTAGTTATATAGTACTGATTAACGTTATAAGATTTCTAGGAATAAATTGATATACAATTAGCATATGAAAACACTCACTTCATTATAAGGAAAATGACAATTTATTGATAAACTATTTCAAAGTTTCGAAATTTTTTCTAATAATATATGTTCTTATGTATGTTTTAAATTTGTTAAACCTGTTAGATCAAGGGAATTGGTTTGTGGTGTAATTCAGTTTAGTTCAATTAGTTCATCATGTTTATGGTCTAAAGTTAATCTGGTTAAGGTTGAAATAGTCAATTGTATATCTTATGTTTTGCTTTGGAACAAATGTTCATGTCTGTTAGAATGATTGGTAACAGGAACATGGCAATTCTGACATATTCAAAATACCAATATATGCTGCTTGTAAGGAAGCTCTTGAAGCAGTTGGTTTAAACGGTTGAGTTAAAATAATGTCGTATGAAATTTACTGAAGCCACCTTTATTTGGCTGATTTCTAGGAAATATCTGTGTCACGATGTTCGTCAATTTGGTAAATAATTTTGCCTTTTGAAAGTATTTGTAGTTAAAACACCTGCCTGATGTAATAAATTGTTAGTCTGGAACCACTTTCCACATTTACAACCAATGGGTCAATATCACTGCTTAAAGATGCTTTTTTCCCTATTGTATCATTAGCCAAGTCGTTTAGAGTTGTGTACTGACATGGATATCAATTAATAGTGTGTTTTCAACAAATTTATTGTTCATATTGTTTCATTAAAAAACTAACGATTGTTTTACCACCAGACAATAAATGTAAGGTTTTCACAATTTTCAAAGCTCCTCAATCTTCTTATTCTAACTGTTTTAATGCCCCCACCGTCGCGGAGGGGGAATTCAGTGTTACCCTTGTCCGTCCTGTCCGTCCTGAAAATTGGTTTCCGTTCTCTTACTTTAGTTTGCCACAACCAAATGTTATAAAACTTATAATTTGTTATACTCAATGCTTATTACCACAAAACACAGATCAAGTTCCTCAATTGAGTGGCGTCACTTTTACCGTTCATGAATTGCGCCCCTTTATAAACATTTAAATTGCTGAATTTTTCGTTTCCGTTCTCAAATTTCAGTTTTTCATCAACCAAATGTTATGAAACTTATTCAATGCTTGTTACCACATAACACAGATCAAGTTTGAAATTGGGTGGCGTCACTTTTGACGTTTCATGAGTAATACTCCTTTATAAACATAAACATTGCTGAATTTATCGTTTTCGTTCTCTAACATTAGTATGCTTCAACAAAATTTTATGAAACTTCTACACACTGCTTGTTATTACAGAACACAGATCAAGTTCGAAAAAGGGAGACGTCACTTTTACCGTTCGTGAGTTATGCTCCTTTATAAACATTTAAATTGCTGATTTTTTTGTTTCCGTTCTCTAACTTCAGTTTTCCTCAACAAAATGTTATAATACTTATACACAATGCTGATTGTTACCACATACCACAGATAAAGTTTTAAATTGGACTGGTTGCGTCACTTTTACCGTTCTTGTGTTATGCCCCTTTATAAAAAAAAAATTGCTAAATTTGTCTTTTCCGTTCTCTCACTTTAGTTTGTGTCAACCAAATGTTATGAAACTTATACACAATGCTTATACTCACAAAACTGTCTTTATTACGTGAATCCTCCATCTGTATATGGAAGTTCACTCATGCATATTTACAAGCGGGGGCATCTGTGGCCCATAGACCCTTTCATCATTTTTGGATTAATCCAGGGTCAATTGATGTCTTTTTGTAGACAAATTGCTCATCTTGTGGGTACTTAATAGTTATTGCTATATATGCCTGGTACTTTTGGTGACTATTTTAAACTGATAATGTTCTATACATTCCGCTGACCGTAGCCACACTCTGGTCCTCTTCTTTTTGATCTTAAACATCATCAAATTCAACTGGTCAACGTAATTTCATGTCAAGAATTCGATCAAAATAGTAGCAATAGTGGCACAAAAACTACTTAAATTGCCAGGGATCTGCGTTCTCACAAAGGTATTTTGGATTCATGTTGTTCAACGGCAAATTTTATGTGTAACGTATTGTGAATAATTAGGTCTTTCCACTTTTCCGTGGAAAGACCTATTGCTTTTGTTCTGATTATTATTTTTTTTCCTTCCGCCTAATTTTTGTTCTTGCGCAGTATTATTTCTTCACCAGATGTCGCTTAGATTTTTGGTATATGATATCGAACAGTTTATGCGCTTTTGGAACTGGCCCTATTTAAACAAACACTTTTCTTGTAAAAGTTATCTCCCCAAACACTGTTTTTCTACTACTCCTTTGCAACCGTAAAAGATAAAGACAAATTTATTTTACCAAACTACTCGCTTTATCTTCAGGATGTTGAGTTTGGTTTACACCGAATCGTTTCGGATACCCCATATGAGAGTTATTTCCCCTTATGCATTTGATTTAATTGATATGCATATGTAACTGGTAAACCATAAGTTATAAAGACGTAGGGTCTTTAGATTAGAGGTCCTTGGTCATAGAAAGAGATAATAAGGTCAAGGTCTAAGGTCAAGTTCATATTCTAAAATTTGAGTTTGGCTAATTTTCACTTTTTTTCCAAAACCGTATAAGATATTGAACACATTTTTTATTAAATTGTTAGTTGCGACATGTCGCAACACATACATTTTGAAAGGATACGTTGACATTTAATGGGAGTTTTCTCCCCTCTTATATCTAAAATTACGTGTATGGTGGTATTACTCATTAAACATACATAATAAAAACCTAGGGTCTTTTGATTTAAGGTCCTGGGTTAACGACCTTCAAATTGAGGTCAAAGGTAAATTTAACGTTCTAGATTTTAACCTTTGCTTTCACTTTATATGTATACATGATAAAGCCATGGGACTTTCTGCATTATAGTTGCAAGCCATTTAACCTTGGTAAAGCCAACCAGAAGTGACCAACGGTAAACCGGAAGTGGCTATTTTTTGTACTTATTCAATGTCAAAGTATATAGAACTATATATTTTTTGAATCAGTGTCAAGTTACCTATCAAATAAAACCTGAAATCACATTTTTCAAATCGGAAGTAACAAATCATCTCCCATATTTCAAACAAAAATGTATAGAAACCATATATTTTTGGAATCAGCATACAATAAGCTATTATGCGACAATGAATATGACATTTTAAACCTGATATTAAGATTTGCATATCGTTTCGTGTGGGAAAACCTTCAATTGGTTTTTAATTTTTTTTAAATATTTTTCGAAATGTTTGGCCATGTCGTCTAGTTATTCGATTGTGGTTTAGTTACTCCCTTGATATCTTCTTCACTATTGTACCCTAGACCTTCTCCGAACAAACTGTCACAGTCAAAAACCTCCTTAACATTAGCACTTGTAAATCTTTAAAGTTATTCAATTTGAAAAACGATTTTCAAATAAGTATATTAAGTACATTAACGACCTTGTTGTTCAACCATGCAATGTATTAGTAGGTCTTTTAACTTTTCCATGGGAAAACCTCACAGTTTTGATCTGATTATTTGTTTCTTCCACTTAATTATTTTCTTTCGATGTTTGGTTGTTTCGCAAGATGTGTAGCTTGGATATTTGGTATATTATATCGAACTGTTTATACACCTTTGAAACTGATACCGCTGAACCAAATACTTTTCCTTGAAAGAGTTATCTCCCCAAACACTTTTTTCTTGTTATTTCTAATACTTCGCAACCGTTAAAATACTTAACCTTGCTGTCATGTAATACCTGTATTTTTTTTCTATCCTAGTTCTTCACTGTCAACAGCATACATTTATAAACAATTTGTCATATACCGATCGTGTTGTTTTTCGTTTTCTAACTTTTGGGAAATTGAATATGAAGTTCACAGGTAATAACCTCGTCATATCGAGGAGCGTTTTGTACAGTGATTTTGTCATAGTTTGGTTAAGTTGAACATGGTTTAGTTAAGTTACTTCCCCGAACGATTGCCTCAGTTCTATTCAAAGGAGCAAATAAAAAGCAAATAAAATGTTTGGATCTGTATTGTAAGTCAAACGATCTACATTGGAAATGTTGTTTTCAAGAAATTAACGCAGAATAAGCAAACTATCGACTTTTTTATGGTTTGGTTAAGCGATTGACATGGTTTGGTTAAGTGTCTAGAAAATCGTCATGGTTTTGATCAAGTCTGTCATGGTTTAGATCAAAATAATATATATGTGTTTCAGCTCAATATTGATAGTTTGTTTTACATTTTTTTCTAGCAAACTAAACATCTGATGTTGTATTTTGAACCAGACTATAAAAGGAGATGTGGGGGTTATACGCCCATGATATAGTAACCCAAAACTAACCAAACGATATTAAGAGGACAACATAAGTCTTCAACCATCCACGAAACAAAATGTTAACGAGGGACATGGACAAAAGTTAAAAATTATTTGTTTTATAAACTAAAAGTGAAATTAAAATAACAAAATACTCACAAATTTCCGAATTTAAATATATAAAAGATCACAATTTCGAATTAGAATGAAGCCGATATAATTTCCATTTTTATCAATTATTATTACGAACGGTATGGATTTAGCTCATTGTTGAAGGCCGTACGGCGACATATTGTTGCTAACATCTATGTCATTTTGGTTTCGGGTGGATAGTTATCTCATTTGCAATCAAACCGCATGTACTTATTATATAATACTACATTGTATATGCGTTCATATATTCTTTTGTATTCCAAACAAAACAGTTTTATAAGAAAAAGTATTTCAAATAGTTGTATATTGTCTGTTTATTTTGGTCGTTACTCTTCCTTCATAAACGACAAGAATCACATAACTGAACCATGTCGAACATGAAATAAACCATGACACGACTTAACCAAGCCATGACACCGAATTTTCTGTAATCTTAAATTGAGTGCAAGAGTAGCTATTTTGGGGAATAGTTGACGGCAATTTTATATCATAACGAAATATGTGATGTAACAGACAGCAAACAAACAACTTTTCTTTATGCATTAGAAACGAATCACAACTTTTAAATTTTGACATACGCAAGCATTATTCTGTGTCAAATTATAAACTATATGATACAAATTTTGATGTACTAACATATTAGCTATAAACAAAGATACTTACAAGCTTGAATTTATGGTCAGAAGTTCCTTTAACAAACTATTTGAATGTTTATATTTTGGCATTGTTTGTCATCAAAAACACTTAACACAGTCATGTCTAACTTAACCAAACTATGACAAAATCACTGTACTAAACGCTCCTCGATATGACGAGGTTACTACCCGTGAAGTTTAAAAGGAGAATATTATAAATATTTGACTGAGACAAAAAAAGTTGAATTGGAATCGAATTTACGAACATGAAGAGTTGTCATATTTGTTTGTTTTTATAGTGATTAAGATTATAACACAATGTTGACTGATGTCCCCCTATTTTTGACATTTTTACCTATTATGTCTTGTTTTTTTGGCTCACACATAGTTGTCATTATAACATAATTTCATGCGACTGTCATACAAGTGAGAAATGTAACTAGTTATAAAACCAGGTTTAATTCATCAATTTTCTGAATAAGGAAATGCCTGTACCAAGTCAGGAACATGACAGTTGTTTTCCATGAGTTTGATGTGTTCCAGCTTTCGATTTTGGCATTTGATTAGGGACTTTCCGTTTTAAATTTTCCTTGGAGTTCGGTAATGTTTTTATGTTACCTTTTGCTCCATTATTTTTTTAATAGCCTAGCAACCATAGATAAATAAAGCACCCCCTTTTCTGGAGATAGACATACATTATAAAAACATGTATAATAGATTCATCCCTAGTTTTTTTTATTACAAAAGCGTAACTAGAGGATACAGACTTACGACTCCAAGTTGTTTTTTTTTTATATTTGTTAGATTCGTATAACCTTATTTAATAAAAAGTTGTATTGAGTGGTGCAGAATGTATGTGATATATTTAGCATTTTTGTTGTTTGGTAACTAACCCTTTGACGTATTATAGTTGTTGATGTTTTATGATTCTTCGGATGTTCGTAATTCTTTCTGGGGTTGTGTTGATATAGCAACACAAACCAGTAAAAGTCTGAAATGGCATATATCTGTACTCGACTGTACTGATTTTTACTCGACCAGTCTGAATTGGTCTGAACTTTACTTAATATTACTCGACCTAGTCTTAACCATACTCGACTGTACTGATTTGTACTTGACCCTTATCTTTGCTTTTGAAAATAGTCTGAACTATTACTCGACCAGTCTGAAACAGTCTTAACCCATTCTCGACCTGTAATCTACCAATACTTGACCAGCTTTCGACCTATTTTTTTCAGTC